ATATATTTTCTCAGTTCCAAAGCAATCCTGGTAAGTTTCACTGGGAAGGATTACTTAAACTTTTAGGGTACGTTTCCAATACCAGACAGCACAAACTTAAACTGGTATGCAAGGAACTGAAGCTCAATATATATTCAGATTCGGATTTTGCTTCAAGCAGGGATGATATGGTGTCTATTGGTGGACAAATAGCTTTGTTGGGAGAATCACCTGTATCTTGGCGTACATTTAAAGAAAGGGGAGTGAGTTTGTCTACTATGGAGGCTGAATTTATCTCCATGACTGGATCAGCAAAAGAATTAGTTTGGTTTAAAACATTTTGGATGAATGCATTCAGTTTAAAATTGCAAGTAACTATGTTTCGAGGCCAATATTGTTTGCTGATAACATGGCTGCTATATGTTTTACAAAATCACCCATTGAAAACTCAAGGACAAAAACATATAGATGTGAAACTATTTTTCATTCGTGATCTATTGAACAGGGAAATTTTTGATTTAAAATATGTTCCAAGTAAAGATAATCTGGCTGATCCCATGACAAAACCGCTGACTAAGCATAACCTGATAAGATTTTGTGGAACAATTTTCTTATGAAATTTGTTTTTGTGTGTATTTAAATTAAGAGTTTTGTTTATTTGAAAATATGTTATAAGTCATATTATGATGGATATTAGGTAAATGTAAAACTGTATAGTGTAGAATGTTGTATGAGTGACCAGGGCCCTGGGTAAAAGTATTGAGTGTGTGATCATATATATGTCTTTGTATTGTTTTGTAACATGTTGGACTTTCTTGTTATGGTAAAATTTTTGAATAATGGGATAAGATGTTCCCAAAGGAAAATTTTTCTTAAAAATTTCTGAATTGAATGAAATTGTGATATTTATTTATTCTTGTTTTGAATTTTGTAAAGATACTGGCATTCAGTTTTTATTTCAGGTCGGAGATGATGATGTGGGGGGGGCATTTGTTGGAAAAATATAGCTTATTTTAAACCTTTTACTGCATCATCTCTCCTCCTTGAAATGTTTATTTAGTTTAGTTCTTATTTTAATGTAATATAGTAGTTACTTCTACTTCTTTTTCTTGCTGCCACTGTTTGCATTGAGAACGGACTGTTTCAACCTAATTGAGATGCAAAAACGAAACGTGATGTTACGTCATCTGAAAAGCCGATTCGTGCCGATAGCTGATTGGTTGCCGTGAGATGACGTCATTCCTACTTCTGCTATAAGTATCTCGCGTCGCTCTGGCTCAACCCTTCTAGTTCCTGCTTTCCTGGCACTTGAGTGAGCGGTTTCCAGCCCCTTCAGAAGGATGCATGCAGTCCGGTGAATAAAGTGCCTTGGTTCCGGTTTGCGGGATGGCTGTTCCTGAATAAAGTTCCTTGGTGCCTGTCCGCGGGATGATTGTTTCGGAATGAGTTCCTTGGTTCATATCCATAAGATGGTTGTTCCAGAATAAAGTTCCTTGGTTCCAGAGGCTACCATGTGAGTGACTGCCGTGGGCGGCATCCATGTTCTTCAATGAAAGGCGGCATTTAAAAATACGTGAGCGGCGATTCCTCGTGCAAACGGAGTTAGGCCGGTTTTAAGTGCTTTCAAGAACTTCCATTTAAATTTTCAGGTGTTTTTCTCAACCATTGATCATGGACTTTTTGAATGTGTAGCGAACTTCATTTTTAGGCCGCATAATTAATGTTTAGGACATTTTTGTTTGTATTGAATGCCAGTGTTTTTGGAGACCAGGTAAAAATATTATTTGATGAATGATGGTTATATTATATTTTTCCTAAGACTCTGATATTGTTGAAATTTATTTTCTGTGTTTTTATTCTTTATTATATTGTTAATAAATTGGTTAAGTTCAAAACCTTTTATTGTCTTCAATGTCTGCACAACATGATATCTCAGGGAGCTTTTATTGCTACTACTGCTAAATGTTTAATTTTTTTCAAACTTTAAACTTTGCTTTAGCATCACAACGCCACGTATTTGCTGCTTTCAAATAAAACGCCACAAGCCTTATAAGTTTGTAGCTTGAGTCCTTATGATTATTTCGTTTGTGTCCAATAACGACTTGACTGTATTTTTCGTAATTAAAATTTTAAAATTGGACTAATCCAAGTTTTATTCGAATCATCTAATGATTCGAAAAGGTTCTTCAGATTGCTGACGAAGTTATTTAAAAGGAAACTGTATTTGATATATTAATCAAGCTAAAATATCATTGCAACTGTCTAGACAACATTCAGTCTAAGACTGATACTATTTTAGAGCAAATTTATATGCATTTTAAATAATAAATAATACAGATAATTTTTCTTTATTATATGTCATTTGCCAACAATATATATCCAAAAACAATTAAATAAACTAAACAAACATACAAAAACTTTCGTGCTTTTTTTCTTTTTAGTATTTTGTTTTTATTATGTAATTACTGCTTTTTTTTTTTTTTTTTATTCAAATTTGTAACTCCTAGAAAAGTTGTGGGTTACATTTCGGAAACTCAAGATGTTATGCTGTAGGGTATTTTAATAATTTATGTAACAAAATATGGAAGTTTTAACTCATCTCTTCGTTGCTGCTTATTTATTACATTGCATTGAGCAAAGTAATATATAATTATGTAAAGAATGAGCACACAAGAAAATCAAACTTATTAAAATTTTTTCTAATGAAAATCGCATTCATATCAGTATGCATTAAAAGCATTGGATTATTTAAAATGCATTCGAACAAAACTTCAGCAAACCAGTATAAGTGGCGAGTTATGTTCCAAAAAGTAATTAATTCACCATTAATATATTTACTATTAAATTAGTTTGTGTTTTATAAATCCGTATCAAGAATACGCTTATTATAACTTATTAACCGCTTCCCTTACAAATTTTTTTGAAAAAAATTGCAAAAAATCATCACATTTTTACTTCCTTGTACGAAGTAAAAAGGAAGTATTGTAATCACGAAAAGTTTCAGACAGCATATTTCAACGAAAATATCCATTTTGACCGCTATCGAATGCAATTTAATGATGTTTTTGTGTGATATCTGTACGCATGGACAGAATAAAATACTCTGTTCCTTAAAAAAAAAAAAAAAAAAAATTATAAAACTGCTTTAAAATTAATTCTGAAGAGAATTTTTCGTGGCGTCTGTACGAACGTATGTACATACGTGCGCGCGTGCGTATGTACGTATCTCGCATAACTCCAAAACGAGTAGCCTCAGAACGTTGAAATTTTGTATATAGGACTGCTATAACGTGCAGATGTGCACCTCGTATTTTGGTTGCAATCGGCCGCATCAAACGTATATAAATATATTTATATATATATCCACTCTATTACCCGGCTCAGTGATCTCAGTTTCTTTACTCTTATATGTTTGTAAATTGTACATTTTTTGCTTTAAAAATGATTGAATTATGTTGTTTTTATCTTCCGGTTAAGGATTTTATGCCCTTAGTAAATCTTTGTGCAATATTTTTAGAATTATCAGCAACTTTAAAGTTGTTTAATTGCCGCTAAGCCTGTTTTTAATGGCGGCCATTGATGTTTACATTTGAAACAGGAGACTAGTAGATTTGTTGCCAATCTAGAAAAACTTAGCTTCGCAATAACAAATATAATGCATTCATTTATTATTGCCAGTTAAATCATGCTTAATTCTTTCTCGAATTTTTTCGAGGAAATAAGCGTTTGAGATTTACTTCGTAATTTTTAATATAGATATTTTGAGTTTTTATGTATTTTTGCCTTCTCGCGAAGTGAGAACTGAATTAATTAAATGAGAAATACTCAATCGTCTGTGAAAAACTGTTTCTTTTTTGTTTTGTTTGAATTTCTTTTATACACAGTTCTGGCTTTATTATAGTATTTGAATAGAACATGTGGCAACGATTAGATAATTCTTTAAATGATATACATTTTGTGCATTCTGAGTTATAATATGAATGAAATATAATACTGTTAAGTAAACCTAGCACCATAGTGTTGCTATGGTAAACAAAGTGAATTTTAAAGAATGCATTTATTCTATTGTGGTTTATGCGCTGTTGGCGAAGTAGGCGTACTTACGTATTAACGCAACCAGGCCAAAATTCGCATAAATCGCCAAATTTGGCGACCCTACTTACGACAACCCTACGTGTTATACGTAGTTTTTCGTAAAGAAATTATTTTTCTTACTGGTTAGATTGAATGCCCTGAAATACTTTAACTATGGGTATTTGGGATCTGCCTGCGAGTGAAAAAGATGCTGTTGAATTGTTGCAGGGATATGGAATTATACCGAACGAACGTACTTGTAAAAATTCTCATAAAATGAAACTGTATTTTGGAAAGCAAATCTTCTGGAAATGTAACGTGGAAGAGTGCAATCAACATTTGGGTGTGAGAACTGAAAATTGGTTTGAAGGTAGCCGAATTTCATTTGTGACAGTGGTGCGCTTCATTTATTGTTGGTGTAAAGAGTTCAATTAAATTTTGTGCAGAAGAAATGGGAATTGCTGATAAAACTGTTATAGCTTGGAATAATTACAATGGCGAAGACGGTTTCCAATCAGTGCTAAAAGCAATAGCCAAAAGATTTCTGTCGAAAATTAATTCTGCAACTTATTCAAATTCGAAATCGGAAGGGTTTAATTGCTATTTTATATTTTAAAACAAAATAATATAAAAAACTGTATTAAAAATTATCTGTAATTAATAAATGTACATTTTCTTTCTATTCATACTATTTTACTCAAACTTACAAATCGCGCCAACCTGGTTGCGATAATACGTAAGTATCGAAGTAGGTTTAATTCAATCTAATAAGTTTAAATAAAATGCAAGAAAAAATGCATACAATTTAATATTCCATGCAAGGAAGTCGTGGTGTACACATCAGATTTTATTTTATTATTAAATACAACAAAACGAAACAAATCAAAATATGTAGGTTTTAAGTTGAATTTTAAATTTTTTGAAGGTGTAAAAGCATTTATTTTTAATATTAGTTTACTATCCCGAGTTATCTCAGGCAAACGGAAAAAAGTTAAATATTAATCTTTGTATGATAGTTTTTGAAACAAGGGACAACTAAATCCGGTCATAACACTCAGAGGGTTAAAAGATTTCTTTAAGCTGTGTCAAAGAACTATTCAAATGTATACTGATATCTTTCTTCAAGCATCATCTGTATGAGCATTTGAATAAAAATTCACCTTCAAGCTTTTGAACCAGAGTTCTGATACTCTCCAGTTACTTACAAAGATTAGTTTCCCATAATGCTGCCCTCTTTTGAGGGATCTTTTCCTGTATGGAACAACAATCTGTGTGCAACAGGATTCATTTCTTTAAGGGTATATTTACTAAGCAACCATCCAGGAACAAAGAAAAACAGAGGGAAACAATTTCTTTAATATACATTAGGGATTCACTCCCACCAAAACAGATAATTACACTGCTACATAAAGAGGTGTGATACATGCCCCAGCTGTCTTTTCAAGCTACAGTTATTATGACCATTCCGATAACAAAGGATTAGGCTAGGCAGGTAGCCCTTCTTAATAAAGGTGGTTTCTTCTCAAGTGATGGGGGCCACAGCTTCATTTATCACCAAAAATAATCAAATTGTAAATTCAGTTCATTTTTAGATCGCAAATGCATGTCTAAAACAGTTTATTTCTGGAATGCAAGAGTTAAATTGCATACTTAATATATAAACACACGCCAAAGTTAACAAAAGCGCACCTTTAAATTTATAAAACACAATGAAGTAGGTTGAGAGATATAGGCTCCGACTATGAATATAAGGATTTGAAAAAGTAGGTTTTAAAAGATCAGGGGATGCTTGCATTAGGGATTGTTGAGATATTTGTAATCGCATTCTTACTGGTTAAAAGGAAGTATAGCTTTCTGTCACGTCCGAATTATTCTGAAACTTAATCCCATTCTTTATGTTATTTTTGATTGGTTATTTATTGTGTCTTGTTTATGATTTGTTAAACCATGATCTGTTGTAAAGTTATATATATGACCTCTGTAACCGCTTACCTCTGCTTGTACTTAACTCTGCTTGCTTGTATTTCTTTGCATGTAACTCTGCATATCTCAGTAATAAATATTTGTTTTGCGAACCACGGCATTTTCTATGTTTAACAGCAGAGTGTGGTTCTTCAAAAATTAGAATACAATGATAGTTCCCTAATTGAACCTTCTATTTCCAGTGTAATAATTCGTTCGCATGATTTTGTTTTGGTGTTCCGTGAATGATGGCTTTTTCCGGAGGTGAAAGGGAAGCTTTTGGTGTTGCGCCATTTGATGGTGTTAATAACTTTACTGTTTGGTGTCGAAGAGTTCAAGCAGTATTTACAGCAAGGGAATTGGATACATTTTTGGAAACAAGCAATTGCGGACACAGTTGCAGATGTTTTGAAATCAAAAAAGGCTTATGCCTTAATACTTGCACTTCTAAGTGATAATGTTATCGCTTCTCTTCAACGTGAAGACACGGCATGTAAAATATGGAAGAAACTACAAACTACGTATAGCGCTAAAGGTGCAGTGAGTCAAATTTTAATGTGTAAACGTCTAGCTACCATAAGGAAATCCAAAGATGTGTCAATGAGACAGCATATTGACAGCATAATGAACTTGGTGAGTAGTCTACGCGTCTCTGGCTCTGAAGTAAGCGACTTTAATATTATAATTTACATTTTAATGTCTTTGCCAAAGGAATATGAAAATGTTAAAGCATCTCTAGAAAATCAACCAAGTGATAATTTGAGTTTAGATTTTGTTACAAGCAGACTTTACAAATATCAAGATTACAAATATCAAAAATATGATTGTGAATCTCTTATGTTTGATTATAAAAGTGAAAATAAGTATTCTAAACCAAATACGGATAACTCTGTTTTTATTAGTGCTCGTAAAGAATTGTTTTGTACTTATTGTAAAAGAAAAGGACAGTCTGTTAAATTTTGTAGGAAAAAGAACTGCATCTGTCATAACTGTGGGAAAACTGGTCATTTCAAAAGTGAAAGTTTTGATAATTCTAAAAAGCAGGCAAATTTAAATAGTAATAAGTATGCATCCCCTGCAATATCTTTTATGGCTGGAAATCTTGTGCATGATCAATTTATTATTGATTCCGGTGCAACTTCTCATATGTCTTCTCACAAGGAATGGTTTACCTCAATTAAGCCTAAGACTGGAACTGTTAAGTGTGTGTCTAAGTCGGCGGTTTTAGAAGTGGAAAGAATTGGTGATATTTGCGGTAAAACTAAGAATGGTGTTGAAATAATGTTAAAAGATGTTCTTTACGTTCCAAAATTAAACAGGACAATTAATTTCTGTCAAAAATATTGAAGCAGCAGGTTTGAGCAATAATTTTTAAAAATGAAATAGTTTATATTGAAAACAAAAACAAGCGTTTTAGATTTGGATATTTGGACAAATATGCGAACAATATTTTAGTGATTTTTCACCAAATCTATTTACAGCAGCTTTAGCAGTAAAGAATGATGATTTATGGCACAGAAGACTAGGACACTGCTTGTGATCAAAAATTAAAACTAATGAATCTTCCTGCAAAAGAATCCTTTTGTGAAGTATGTGTTCATGCCAAACAAAGTGCTTTGCCTATAGGAAAGGGTCCTCGCATAAAAGAATCCAAAACGCTTTATAACTATACACACTGATATATGTAGGTCCAATAGAACCTCAAACACTCCATGGGGAAAAGTATTTCATGACTATAATTGATGACTACTCGCGCGATTTATGGAAATCAAGACTGCTCAAAAGAAAAAAAGTGACATTGTTGATGAACTCAAACTATTTCTTTAAATTGAATCCAACTGTTACAAATCTACTGTGCTGTGACAATGCCAAAGAATATGCCAGTGGAGAATTGCATGATGTTGCTAAAAGAACAAGTGTAAAAATAGATTCTGCACCTCCCTATACACCTTTTCTAAATGGTGTTGCTGAACGAGCAAATAGAACTGTACTGGAAAAAGCTGGAGCAATGACACTTGAGGCAAAATTACCAAAATTTCTTTGGGGGTGAAGCAGTACGTACGGCTGCGTAAGTAATCGACTCGCAAATAGTTCAATTGACAATCATGTTCCTTATTTTCTGAAGTATGGTGAAAATCCTGATTTAACAAACATTCGTGTATTTGGCTGTGATGCTTATACTCTTGTTCCACAATCACAAAGAAAGAAACTAGATGAAAATCTGTCGGAATGATATTTGTAGGTTATTCCACAATGGGATATCGTTTAATAATTCCAGAAACAAGACGCATCATTGTTCCAGAAATGTTAAATTTAATGAAGAAAAGAAGAAAGTAGAAAATCAAAAATATATTTCCGATAGTTCTGATTTGAGTGAAAATGACAATGATGACATTAAAAATGAAGACAAATCAATTTCAGATCCTGATAACGGCGAATTAAATGCCACAAATAAGAAGGAGGATCTTCAAGAGAAAGAAAATCTTCAAGAGAAAAGAAACAACCAGTTAGGGAACCTAATCCTGAGATTTACCAAGTAATGTTTGCACAAGACACTCTGACATTTGAAGATATTGTAAATCTACCACAAGTAGAACAAGAACTATGGAAAAGAGCTATGGATGAGGAAATGAAATCTATGGAAGATAACGACGTCTGGGACCTGTAAAGTTTACCCCCTGATAAAAGAGCTATTTCCTGCAAATGGGTTCTACGTAAAAAACGAGATGGAACTTACAAAGCCAGGCTTGTTGCTCGTGGCTTTATGCAAAAAGAAGGCATAAATTACACAGAAACGTTTTCTCCAGTAATTAGTATGTGCTCTTTACGTTTAATCCTGGTAATTATCAATAATGAAGGTTTGCAAACTTTTACTTTAGATGTCAAGACAGCTTTCTTGAACGGTAAGTTAGATGATATCATCTACATGGACCAACCAAAAGGATATGATGATGATATGAGTGGTAAGAAATGTAAACTTAAAAAAAGTTTATATGGTCTTAAACACTCTCCTCGACAATGGTATCAGAAATTTCTTAATTTTGTCATTAAATTAGATTTTAAGCAATTGGACTCTGAACCATGTATTTTTATAAGAAATATAAATTGTAAGAAAGTAATTATGGCTCTTTATGTAGATGACTTATTAATTGCAGGTTCGGATGTAAAAGAAATAAATATTATAATATCATTGTTGTCTAGTGAATTTCAAAATCTGAAAGGGTCTCAGAATTTTTAGGCATTAGACTGAAATTTGAGTCTCGTTGTTTATATTTAGATCAGAAACCATATTTTGGAAAATTACTTGATAAATTTAAAATGTCTGATTGTAAAACAGCCCAAACTCCCATTGAACCAAAATCTACAGCAGCTGATTTTCAGAAAGGAAATGCATTTCATGGCCCATACAAAGAATTAATTGGATCTTTACTTTACTTGGCATATATTACAAGGCCAGATATTTTATTTGCAGTAAATTGCTTAAGCCAACTGCAGGAGCATCCTACTGATATTGCCTGGTGTGCTCTAAAAAGAATTCTTAGGTTCTTGAAAAACCCCTTAAATTTAAAATTGATATACAAAAAGGGTGATTACGAAAGGGCAAACTTGTGTTTGTATGTACATGCAGATGGAGGGGGGGAGATACTCAAGATACAAAATCAATTACTGGTTATTTTATAATGTTTTCAAACTGTCCTATTATGTGGTACTGTTACAAGCAAAAGAGTATTGCAATTTCATCAACAGAAGCTGAAATAATTGCTTTATGTAAAGGTATTCAAGATGTTTTATGGATAAAAAATGTAGTAAACGAAATTTCCAGTGTTAAGAATGTTTATATTTTGAGGATAACCAGTCATGTATTAAAAGTATTGTTAATGAAAACTCTTCAGGTAGGTTGAAACATATAGATATAAAATTAAAGTTCACTTGTAAGATTATTAAGGAAAATAATATTCGAATTGAATATGTACAATCAGGTTTACAAATTGCAGATATGTTAACTAAGACTTTGTCCAAAACAAAATTCTATTAACTGTTATCGTTGAGCTGTTTAAAAATTGTGTAATTCTTTTTATGTATTGTATAATGTGCGATTAAGGGGGAGTGTTGAGATATTTGTAATCGCATTCTTACTGGTTGAAAGGAAGTATAGCTTTCTGTCACGTCCGATACATTCATTAGCTTTCGGTCAGGTCCGAATTATTCTGAAACTTAATCCCATTCTTTGTTATTTTTGATTGGTTATTTATTGTGTGTTGTTTATGATTTGTTAAACCATGATCTGTTGTAAAGTTATATATATGACCTCTGTAATCGCTTATCTCTGCTTGTACTTAACTCTGCTTGCTTGGATTTCTTTGCATGTAACTCTGCATATCTCAGTAATAAATATTTGTTTTGTGAACCACGGCATTTTCTATGTTTAACAGAGATGAAATTACTAATAACGTAACTAGCTACTAAACTAAACTCAGTGGTGCAACAACCCTAGACAGCCAAGGCCTGCACTGCCCAGAAATCTGCTTTCTTGACCATGGGCCCCGGGGTGCATAAGCATATGCCCTGAACAAGTGGTT